TTATAATAAATGGAACATTTCAGAATAAACAGAGCATATCCACCTATCATTCGATCTAGATTCTATACAAAGGTTACTTTTTTCTGAATAAGTTTTTTTCTGACATCGACATATGTTAAACTGTTTGCTCTTTTAGACAACTATTCATTAAAAAGTAATTTGCAAATATTTCTCTAATAGTATGAGAAAAAAGAAAAAAATTGAAAAACTTCAGAATAGATTCTATGATGAAACATTCACGAAGATCGAGCTTCTAAACACTTTCTTCTCAGAACCAATTTTAAGTTTTTCAAGTCGCGAAATAAAAATTTTTGTTTTACCATCATCTACTGTTTCGAATTGATTTTGATCTTGTCATTTAACTATGAACACATTTTTTCGTTTATATATTTGTAGTCTTTCACATTGCTAACAGTAACTGTTTTTTTTACTGATAATTCTATTGAACAAAGGCCTTTAGCACTAATTTCTTTTTTCAGAATGTTTAGAGTAACTTGACATATTTTTCTTATCTCGTGATACACGTATTCTAATTTCGAAAAGACGAACGAATGATTTTGTCCATATATATATATATATTGATAATAAGTATTGTTTATGATTTTCAGGCGATGATGAAGAAGGTCATGATTATGTTTCACAAATTGGTTCGCTTAAAAAGAATCCAATGATACTTGATGGTCAACAACTTATACCACGTACAATATCTGGTTATCTTGACTTATATACATCAGTTGGTTTACCTAATAATGTTGATCCACGTACATTTTTATTTAATGTATCAAAATTTAATAATCAATTACCTCGTAATGTAAGTTAAAAATAAATAATTTATTTAGAAAAACTAAAAAAAAAAAAAAAACTCTTTCATATTCAATAGGTTTATCTTTTATGTGGTGATACATCTCTTGAATTATTAGGTAAAGCAATGGATTTAAAACGAAGTTCAACAACAATAACTCCTTATACAAATGCATGGCGTACAATAACACAAAGTTTACGTGTATTTGTACATAAAATAGGTGAACGACGTGGAATTAAATTAATGACATTTATTGATACAAATTCATCATTTAATATTGCAACTGAAATAGCATTAACAGCTGCTGATAGAATTATTTTACCTGTTAGTGAAGATCATTTACATCGAAATGGTTTTGAATATCTATTTAGGTAACAAAAAAAAATTTTTTTCTAAAATAAATAATAATAATAAATTTTTTCATTTTAGTCTTCTTTATGGTTTTTCTCAACCGTCCAGTATATATTCATATTATCGTCATTATAGTTTTTATTATCGTGCCGATGAAAATGGTGTTAAATTACCTAAAATACATTTAATTTTATGTAAAGCATCACCAATAAATAAGGAATCAAAATTAGGTATTAGTAGTAATTCATTACCAAAAGCTGAAGAAATTGAAAATTGTTGGCATTTTGTTTATGATATATATACTAAACATCGTGATGCATTTGAAATTCATTCAAATGAAAAAATCTCACCACGTCCATCATCATCAACATCATCATCAACTAACGATCAACATTCTTCATATTCATTTAATAATCATATAAATAATCTTATACAAATTGAAACATTTGAAGAATTTATGCGTCAATATGTTATGCATATTAGTAATGAAACCAATGTTGTATCACGTATTGCTGTTAAATCACATTCACCATTATTAGCTGTTAAACACCCTCATCATTCACATGAATACCAATCAAATGCACAAACTTTTGACAAAACATTAAACGATATTGTCGAACGTATTTAAGTCTTCCTTTATGATAAAACATCTGTTTTACTTTTGTTTTCATATACGTAAAAATAATAACCCATTGTCTTTGTTTTTTCTTTCTCATATGATCACTAATCACAATGACATAGGTGAATGTGCAATGAGCAACCAAAATATATATATATATATATACATTGTATTTAATTATTTTTGATGTTTCCATAGAACTTGCAATGAAAACTATTTATTTGGTCATGAACATTAGATCTTTTTTTCGTCATATTTCATAGTAAAAAAAAAAATTATTTTTTCTTTTAAAATATTTAATCGATGAATAAATTAGATTTGATAGTATTGAAAAATATTTATGTCATATAATTGATGACCAGACAGTTTGTCACACAGACAAAGTATTGCAACGATTTTATAATGTCATAACATCTATGTATCATCAACAAATTATATAAAAAGTCGAATATTATTATTATCTTGAGAAAGTCTAGAAGACTTCAAGCTCCTGTTCAAAAAAGAACAGTCAAATGTAACATAAACCCATGAAAAGATAACTCGAAATCTGATCTTTCATTAATTATGGAACTCGCATATAGCTTTGAAGGAAATAGTGAGTGTAAGTTTTAAGTTGAAGATTGACACCTCTACCCAATATTTGATCTTAGCAACCACTACTGCTTGAAAAATATAATTATTTTGTTTCGGATTTTCTCTGTTGGTCACACATCATAGAATTCTCGAAAAAAACTTCATTGCAGTCAATCATTTTTCTTCTTGCTTGAGGAAGCATGCGAAGCTTCAATATCTGGTGGAGCTCGTTGTTTGAATAAAGTATTTTTATTACTAAATAAAAAAAAGTACTTCTATAAATAGATGAGCATTTTTTAAGAATTTTTCAAGATATTGAACTTGTCATCGTTTTGTTTTTCGAATAAAAAAGTAAGAATTTTAAACCAAATATCCTGACAGGTACTCTAATTTGAAGGATCTACTACAAAGAATGTTTCAGTCACCATGTAACCCTTGTTTGTTGAATATTTCTAGACAACATCATCATATAGAACTAATAGTTTTACGATAGCCTCAGCATATCTTCAAAATTTCATGCAATTTCAAATGTATCTAGCCTAAGATCAATATTTGAGGGATGAACTATCTGAAGTGTACACTCTCCTCTATCGTGACCCAACATATTTATTTTCTTTTTGTGATTATTGTACAGTCTGAAGAAATTTCCAAAAAATGCCTTTAAACGTTAAAAATTCCTATTTATGTAAAAGAAATAGTGTGTTGTGTTTTTCTGAAACCAACATCATCATCATAAAGAAAAAGTATAGAAATGTTTTTATTTCCCTGGCCTAATACATCTGATCGAGCTTAAACTTTTTTCACATATCCTATACACTATTTATGATGACTATTTGTTTTTTGTTAGATATCTGTAGAAAAAAATTTTCAGTCTTATCAAACACAAAATCCGAGATGATAACTTTTGCTCTACTTGTCAAGATCACTGTTGAAAATTTTTCTGAAAACAAAAACGTTCTTTCGATATGAAACTGAAATAAAACTGGAAATTTTGTAAATGTATTAAATTTGCATATATATATTTTTATTTTTGAACAAAATAAAGTCAATCAACGAACTTTAGAAAAAGAATGAATGCATAATAATGATAATGATATTTATTATCTTTATGTCAATAGGAAAGCAAGAACTACTTTTCTTTTTTATTCTCTTGTTCTGCCTATCAATGATCGTGCATATTATCAAAACAAGTTTCCTATATAAATTTGTCTAATATCTTTTTTTTTTTTTGTCTATCGATAATTAATAAAAACCTTGTGTATTAGTGCTCAGTTGATGTACCTAACAAGATGAATTTTAAATCTTGTAAAATTGAGCTCAATCAAATATGTACATATTCTAATATCTTGTCTTATTCTTATGTTCTTTCTTTCTTCTTTACTTTCTATTGCATAATTTTGATCAATGAACATTTACAAGGGCTATGATAGAAATTTGAGTTCATTTGCAAATGATTTAAAAAAAAAAAGAAGAAATTACGTGAGAACATGATTTTATTTTTTTTTTTGTACACCTTCTAATCCCTTTCTGATCATCATTTTTATTATTACCACCTTTCTTTGTCTGTCCTCTTCGTTGAGTAATCTGTTCGCCCTCATCGTGTACACCCCCTACCTATCTATAACAGTCATTGCTGATTACTTTTATTCATGACTGTTATATATATAGTGGCGATGGCGTATCATCATACGCTCACTAATTCCTTTTTTTTTTACAAGGCAACATGACAATTGTGATGATCATGTTTTAGTCCTTCTTCTCTTATTCGTCTTTGCTCATTGCTCAATTCAACATATGACATTGTGTGAAAAAGGAAAAGAAAAAGAAAAAAGAAAAATAAATAGTACTATACCACAATTTTATGCACTTGATCATATTACTATTGCACTATAAGATATCTGACCACTATCAATACTTGTCATACTATTATTGTGAAGAATGGTAAGTGTTTTAAATACATGTAGATATTATTATTATTATTATTATTAATGTAATCAGTAGAATTCTTTCATAGAAAGATTTGTATCAATTAAATATTAATCTAATTGCTTCTTACCGAATGAATATTTCAAAAGACCAATATTCTTCTTATCTTTAATGAAAAAAATCTTTAATGAATATCATATCTAAGAAATGTTAGTTTTCGATCTTTTAAATAGTTAACATATGACATTCGAAGATTTGAAGATGAAGGCCATTTAATTAAAACGTATAGTTGGCTTCCTTAACAATCGATTATTTAAATCTATTTTCAAATAGTTTTGATATCTGATTTTTTTTTTTGTTATCATGAACTAGAAGTGAAATGATAATACAGTTTTAATCCCATGTCCCTCAAATTGTCCTTTGTAAAATTGAAATTACAATAAAAAGACAAAGAATAGCATATTGATCAAGGTTTTTTTGTATTCTCATGTTGAATGTTTATGCATAGAAAAAAGAAAAAAAAAGTCGAAATAAGAACAAAGAAGAGAATACACCTTCAACTTTGAAACAAACAACATCTAGATAGACTAAGGAGTAAATAGCAATCTGTTGCAAATATATATATATACATATATACATAAGCAGAGGACATTAAAAAAAAGAAGTGAATAAACGTTAATTTATTAAATTCCTTTTTTTGTTGCTGATGATATTATATATTGTCGAAATATGGTAGGACAAAAATTTCATTATTATTAAATATTTTATTAAGAAAAAAATTTTCTTCCTTAGATCATTTATTGGTTATCATTATCCACTATTTATATTATTTCATTAACTCTTGCTAATCCAACTAATTTAACTGGAAAACATCGTAAGACATTAGGTATGTAATCTACTATTTTTGGATGATGAAAAAAAAAAAAAAAAAAATGAAGATGAATAAATATATCTTTTTTTAAGATGATTCATCATCAGCTAGCGGTCGATCAGCTATTTCAATTATTGAAGAAGATAAACGATGTTTTGCTTGTCCAATAATTCCTGATACAGGCATTCATAGTCGATGTATTGTACCTTGTCATTATAATCAAAGATGTTATTTGAGAGCGTCTCATGCTAATGCTACACGTAATAATAAATGAAAAAAAAAAAAAAATTTGAAACAAACAATAATAGTCATTTGTTTCTTCTTCTTTTTTTGTTTTGTTTTTGAAGTCGCTGATCGTCGTTGTACTGACGAACGATGGGTACGTGATTTACTTGTCGATGGTTGTCTTACATACAATGGTCAATATTGGTGTATGTGTTCAACTGATTTATGTAATTCCGGTGACTTTACATCCATTCGTGGTACGTAAAACATATGAAAGTTTTTTCTTTTTTTTTAATATATAATTGAAAATATTCATGTTTTTTTTTTTTAAATTAGGTTATGATGATTGTTCAAATGAACCATGTCCATGGGGTACAATATGTCTTGATACAAAAGATGGATTTAGTTGTATATGTCCACCATGGCAAGATGATTGCACTTATGGTATGATATTATTTTAATATTATTAGAGTAAGAATAATATTGTTTTTTTTGTTGTTGTTATCTCTTGTAGCTTTTAATATTGGTTGTTCTTGTAAAAATGGGGGTCGATGTATTATGGGTCTTGGATCATACATATGTGAATGTCCATATGGTTATAATGGATTAAGTTGCGAAACAAGTAAGTTCATTGTAAATAGAAGATAAAAATTTTGTATTTGAAATTCATAAGACAATGACTATGATTAATATGTCTTTCGATTGATGATTTCTTTTTTTTTTTTAATATCATATAGGAGATATATGCATCCCAAATCCATGCATGAACGGCGGTACATGTCAATCACAAGGCTTACTTAGTTTTACATGTCAATGTCGACCAGGATTTCAAGGACTTACTTGTCAGATATGTAAGTATTTAAATCCTACAAAGATTATTTGCTTGTAGGTTAGGTATTGACATATGTTATTTATACTAGGCGACGCTTGTATACCAAATCCCTGTCAAAATGGCGGTACATGCGTTTTTGATGATGCAACAGGGTATTTTCGATGTACTTGTCCATCAGGATATACAGGTCGTACATGTGATATTGGTAAATAAACTCTAATAAGATTATAGTACACATAGTAAAAGTGAATAAATTGTAGGCAGTACAGTAACTGTTCCTCCTTCTAATCCATGTTCACCAAATCCTTGTAAGAACGGGGGTACATGCCAACCAACTAATACAGGAAGTTTTACATGTACATGTCCTGCTGGTTATCAAGGAGTTTGTTGTGAAATTCGTGAGTTACACGATATAAAAAAAGAAACAACATAAATTTTCTAATTTATTGTTCATATTAATAGGTTCAGATCCTTGTTCGCCTAATCCATGCAGAAACGGTGGCACATGCCAACCGACTAATACAGGAAGTTTCATGTGCTTATGTCCTGTTGGTTATCAAGGAATTTGTTGTGAAACTCGTAAGTTATACAAAAACTAAAACAAACAAAATAGATTTCTTTTTTTCACTTTATATTCATAATAATAGGTATAGATCCATGCTCACCGAATCCATGTCAAAATAATGGTATTTGTACAGCAAGTGGTACCTCTGCTGTTTGTACATGTGTGACTGGATTTACTGGGCAACGTTGTGAAACACGTAAGTATTTATGAGAACTTTTAATATTCATGTTTTCTATATGGATGATGTTAGGTGATCCGTGTGCTGATAATCCTTGTTTGAATGGAGCTGCATGTATGCCAAATAACTTTGGAGGATTTACTTGTCAATGTCCACCA